ATGTATTTTGGTTAATGTAAATGTGTATATCCTAAAAGTTTCGTAAATGCTACATAATTCTAATAACTAATTGCAACGTTATATTAAATACGTAACAATATTTTGTTGACATCAATGTATACATTCTGTAAAAACTTTACATACATCATTACATACAGTATAATAACAAAATTGCGATATTTTTTTTATTTAATGTGACATCGCAATTTCGTTATTATAATTATATAATAGTTATAATAAGGTTCTTACAGAATATATACATTGATATCAACAAAATAATATTAATGTTACATATTTAACAGAACGTTACAATTATGTCATTAAAATTACGTAGTATTTACGAAACTTTTAGAGTATACACATTTACATTAACCAAAATACATAAATACATAAAGTAACGCCAAAATTACATAACAATTTTATGTAACAATTATAGATTCATTACGTTATTGACATAAACGATACGTCACAGTTATGCAATAATTGCTAATTTCTTCTTTAACCGTTACGCGGTGTACGATTCTCTATCTATCTCGGATTCAAATTTCAGTCAGGAAAGTTTAAAATTGATGAAATTGATGGTAACATCTGTGATAATATGGAATTAAATTTTCTCATGTTGAGATCATGTCCCAAAGAATAATGAGATTATCATAATGATAAGTATCAATTAATTATTAAATTTAATAATTAATTACATTATATATTGATTAAAAAATAAATATTACATTTACTATCTCATTAACTAATTTTCATATTTATCTAACTCATTTATTTTTTAATCAATATATAATTTAATTAATTATTAAATTTAATAAACATTTAAATTATAATATATATGGATTAAAAAAGAAATATTAGATATTAATAAATAATTAATAAATATTTTCTTAAATATTATAATAATGATTAATATATAATATATTTAAATAGATTAATAATTAATACTCTATTTCTCTATATATAAATATTTATTATTTTAATAAATAATTAATTATTAATTAAATAAATGATTTATAATAAATTTATAATAGTTATTAAATATATTCTAATTAATAAAATATTTATATATTTTATATAAATATTAACCTTATATTATTATAACATTTTATTATAAAATATTATACATTTATTATTTTATACCATACCTAGATATACCTAATTATACCATATTATCTAATTACTAAAATAATTTCTTTTTTAATTACAGTTTACAGAGGAAGACGCGCCGGGGTTCGCGTCCAGGAGGAGCGCTTTATGCGCTTCCTCCTAAAATTATCCTCGCCCTATTATTATTGGGGCAACAGGCCGAGGAGAGGCGGAAGAGAAGGCGGACGAGGACGGGGACGGCGAAACGCCGAATAATATGTAATAATATACATAATAATATACATATATACATATATTACATTGTTACATATATACATAAATAAATAAATATACATATATATACATTCTTCATTTTATTTAAATAAAAACCCTACAGATAGAACTTTATAACCCTAACATATTATGAATTGTTAAATAAATCGCAAAACATTATTGATACTATAATTATTTAATGAATAACATTATTGATAATAATAAGAGAAACAATAGAAAATGGTATTGTGATTGTGATTGAAACAAACATTCTTTCTAAACAGAGTTCGATTATAGTATAAGTTTCTTGATTTAAAATGTACTATATTTAAATCATTTAATTATTTTTTTCGTTCAAGTACATTTAACAGGAAAAACTGCATATACGTAGGTATGTATTTAACTCTACTGCCATTACTTGAAACAAATACATTATTCGACATTAACAAATTGGAACTCTGGAATTACGAGTAATTATTTTTTATTGTACAGACTAGGTTTAAATTTTTGAGGACCTTCTTTTGAACATGGCTTGACCTTTTCATTTTTATGATTTTTTGGAGATAGGGTGAGAGAGGACGAATGAGGGTAAGAGAAGACGAGATAGGCGAAAGAGGGTGAAAGAGGACGAAATTGGGTGAAAGAGGGCGAAAGAAGACGAAAGAGGACGAAAGAGAGTGAAAGAGGACGAAAGAGGGTGAGAGAGAATGAAAGAGAGTGAGAGAGGACAAAGGAGAGTGAAAGAGGACGAAAGAGGGTGAGAGAGATCGAAAGAGGGTGAGAGAGAATGAAAGAGAGTGAGAGAGGACAAAGGAGAGTGAAAGAGGACGAAAGAGGTGTGAAAGAAGGTGAAAGAGGCGAAAGAGGGTGAAAGAGGACGAAAGAGGGTGAAAGAGAACGAAAGAGGGTGAGAGAGGACAAAAGAGGGTGAAAGAGGACGAAAGGGGGTGAGAGGAAATGAAAGAGGGTGAAAGAGGGTGAGAGAGAATGAAAGAGGGTGAGAGAGGACGAAAGATGGTGAAAGAGGCGAAAGATGGTGAAAGAGGCGAAAGATGGTGAAAGAGGACGAAAGAAGGTGAAAGAGGGTGAAAGAGGACGAAAGAAGGTGAAAGAGGCGAAAGAGGGTGAAAGAGGACGAAAGAGGGTGAAAGAGAACGAAAGAGGGTGAGAGAGGACAAAAGAGGGCGAGAGGAAATGAAAGAGGGTGAAAGAGGACGAAAGAGGGTGAAAGAGGACGAAAGGGGGTGAAAGAGGACGAAAGAGGGTGAAAGAGGACGAAAGGGGGTGAAAGAGGGTGAGAGAAAATGAAAGAGGGTGAGAGAGGGCGAAAGAGGGTGAAAGAGGGCGAAAGAGGGTGAAACATGGTGAAAGAGGACGAAAGAGGACGAAAGAGAGTGAAAGAGGCGAAAGAGGGTGAAAGAGGACGAAAGAGGGTGTGAAAGAGGGTGAAAGAGGACGGAAGAGGGTGAGAGAGGACAAAAGAGGGTGAAAGAGGCGAAAGATGGTGAAAGAGGACGAAAGAGGACGAAAGGGGGTGAAAGAGGACGAAAGAGGGTGAAAGAGGGGTGAAAGAGGGTGAAAGAGGGTGAAAGAGGGTGAAAGAGGGTGAGAGAGGACAAAAGAGGGTGAAAGAGGCGAAAGATGGTGAAAGAGGACGAAAGAGGACGAAAGGGGGTGAAAGAGGACGAAAGAGGGTGAAAGAGGGTGAAAGAGGGTGAAAAAGGGTGAAAGAGGGTGAGAGAGGGTGAAAGAGGGTGAGAGAGGACGAAAGAGGGTGAATTAGGGCGAAAGAGGGGTGGGAGTGGGGGTGGGGGTGGGGGCGTGGGGACGGGATGTGGGAGGGAAAGAGGTGGGTGGAAGTTGAGGGAGGTGTGAGTGAAAGGTGAGAAGAGATTTATATATATATATAATCCTGATGACGTCAGCGGACAGAGAAGAAGAAGAAGACGACGTTTCTTAATTTTTCATGAAAAACGTCACTTTTTGACCGCTTGTATCTCCGGAACGGCTTGACCGATTTTATTTTTTCTTGGCTCAAATTACTCGTGGCGATGCCGCCTTTCAGGTTATATTACGTGCATTTCAAAATTTTTTATATTTTAGTAGTTCTACACCCCCAAAAAATGGACTTTGATGGTGCAGGATAAGGAGACTTGTAGTGTCTTTTAAGGTCTTTTAGAGTTTGAATTAAGGTCTTTTAGGGTTTGAACATGGCCGGAGACACTACCGCGTCTCCTAATATAAAATATATAAGGTAATATGTTATAAAGTAAGCTTCTTGTTTATTTCACTGTACATCCTGTGATTACGAGAGATATTAAAAATTATTAATTATTATGTTGGTAAGACCCAGTTTTACTATATACTTCAATGAATATAGAAAATTCATAATAAGATAGTCTTCTCGTAGCCATTTTTTTTTTTATAAAAATAGAGCGGTCGGGATAAAATGGTAAAGCGTTCTGGACGTTCATTTTATCCCAATTTTTAAATGCGTTACTCTGCGTTTTTGTTACAAATACAAAATGCCAAATCATTCTCGCACAAAATTACAACAAAGCTTGAGCTTAACTAAAATTTCATGCTGTATAGTAGCGCCCTTATTTTGGAAAAATATCGATAATTATCGACTGACTTTCGAAGATAATTACTGATATTAAAGAGTTTTTGCAATACTGTCTTTAGATACGGTGAACGCTAAAATCACATTATTTTGATCGAATCTTTGCAGTAGTCGTACATTCACGTTAATTATAAACCTTATTCAGTCAAAAATAACATCACACATTATTTGAATAGCGTTACGGTGAAAGATGCACTGCGCAATTTGTTTTTCGATCAAAATAACGTGACTTTAGCGTTTATCGTATCTAAAAGCCGGTATTACAAAAACTCTATTTTGAATTCCACATTATCAATTATCCAAGTCAAATGTATTAGAAATCTATGTATACATGGCACTCATGGAGTCATTTTTGCTACGTTTAATACTATAGATTTAAACGTAAATATATATTGTTGTTTTTACTTTACTATACCTACAACGCACAAACACACACGTACGAATCGTAATACAAACTATACTTTTATATTAGACTTAATTAGAGAGTAATAATGCTTTTTTTTGTGTACCTACATCAATCCTAAGGAACTTGTTTTCATATTTGTACGAAATGTATGTTTTTTATATAAAGCACATATTATGCTGAGTTCATAGCTCGTTTGCTATTCAAGAATCATTTTAATTTAAGAATCCATATCGAAATAAAAATAAATAATGAAAACTGTAATCTTTTAATTATTTTTCGTTTTTTATATGAAATCGGAACTTTCTCGAATCATTGATGTATGTATGTACGTATTGCAATTGTAGAGAAGCATTTTTAATTCTGCCAAATTAATGCGACGAAAAACTAGAAGTACAAAACATAATAATTTTGTCGATAAAACAGACAGTCGAGGGGTCCCCTTAAAAAGAAGAAAAAAATATCATTTCAATTTTGCAAAATTTGAGAAAGAAGCAAAATTTATATACACATAAAAAGCTGTATCATTTATCCTACTCTTCCTATATCTGGAAATATGTTGATAATGAAAAATTAAGTGATTATATTTTGTTATGAAAGTGATTCTCTTACCTATGCATTGGCGCGGGCCTTCGCCAAATGGGAAATAGGCGCCTGACGATATATTACGTTTGTTCTCTTCGCTGAATCGTTCTGGATTGTATTTCTTCGGATGGGAAAGTATTCCGAATCGTAATGCATGCCGAGCATCGATATAAATCGGCGTACCTTTTTCGAGAACCAGATCGGAATTCGGCATCTTGTAGGTCTCTGTTGTTATGCACTCCAAGAAGGGTAATGTCGGATATAACCTCAATGTTTCGGACACCACCATATCCAGATATGGTAGCGACATTACCTGACACAAGAAATCATCACATTTACATATATATACAAAGTGTAATAGCAAAAACATATATGGAATATTCCATCAAATTCTCTAACCAATTTGAAAACGATTTTCCTGAACGAAAAAGTCGAAACAACTAATTTTCAAATTATAAATGATTGAAAAAGTTTATCCTAAATGAAACTTTGTGGAGTTAAAATATTAAAAAAACGACACTACATTCTTCAAATAATTTTAAGTAGAATATGCTTTAATAGAATTTTAATTTAAAATTTATTACAAGATAATGATGGCAAAAATATGGAACATAAAAAAATAGATAGTTCAAAATGAGGTGTCTTGTTAGACTGTTGTTTTATCTATTTATAATAATTTCAATTTAAAAAAAAAATTGTGTTAAACTGTGAGAAGAGGCGACACGAACGCCTATGGATATTAAGAATTTCTCGCTTAGAACGAAGAAATAATTTACGAGATCCAACATCATAAGATCATATTACGGCGAATACTTTTATAAATTAAATATGACAAATTGTAACACGCATAAATTTCTAATAAATTCTCGACTTGAATTAACGGACTATTAGTAAGTTTAAGAATAGGATGATTTTTTTGTAAGAATTATAAATTACGTAACACTGTTATACTGAGGAAGACCGCATGCGGTTGAAACGTTTATATGGAAGGTTTTTTTGTAATTTTAATATATTGTTTATGAAATAAATTTTAATTGGATACAACATCTTAAATATTGCTCGATAAGTTGGCCTTTTTGGATAAATTTGTTGTTTTATACAATACACGAGCGAATAGAAATTTTAATTGATATAAAAAAAATATTTACCTATAATAATATACAATATAATAATATAATATAATAATTCATTACGCCATATAATGAAAATAAACAGGATATAAATAAAAAGATCTGAGATTATCAGATTTGTAAACTAATGTAAAATTCCTAAATAAGATAATGTTTAAGAAGATACTAACACCGTCTTGTTTTACCGAAAAAATGCTCATTTTTCTGCACTCTTTTCTTTTTATTGGTTGAATGGATTAATAAGTGATTTTCCACGATTAAAGTAAATATATAAAAATAAAGTTGGAATCTATCAATTTTACGTAAAAAAGGAAAAAATTAAAAATTTTTTGTTTTTACATACTCAATAGGTTCTAACTTTTTATATGTAGTTCAATCGTGAAAAAAGCATTAATGATTCTATAAAACCAATAAAAAGAAAGGAAGCAACAAAAATAATCGTATTATCAATAAAACAGAAGAGCGTTAGGATTTCCTTAAGGGAAAGAATATAACATATTATATTGATAACAGTTATAATTTTTATATGAAATACGTAATAATTTTCGACGTACCATGTCATATGTGATACTGTCATTAGCTTTGTTGAGAGCGTCAAGAATTTCTTTCCTAAGTTTATTTTGAATCTCTGGTTGCATCGCGAGTTCATATAAAGTAAAAGTCATAGCCGTAGAAGAGGTTTCAAAACCGCCGGTAAAAAAAAATAGCTGCTTGCGCTACTAGATCGTCACCGTCAAAATCTAAAATTAATTCACAAGTCACTCATTAAACTTTTGCTCTCTCTCTCTCTCTCTCTCTCTCACGTTAACTTTGTTTTAGTCAGCTAAAACTCTGTCTCATACACACATATGAATACATTACATATATTACATACATTAGATTTCACGCGACACGTAGAATCGGCTTATGAGACTGTGAATGAAAGAAAGAAATAAAAGACGAAACCGCATATAAAGAGGAAATTAAAATAATGGTCAAGGAAATAGTTCGAGAAGAATTTGGATGCATTAAACAAGAACTAGAAGACTTGAGAGAAATGATGCAAGGAGGAGTGTGTGAACCAGCAGGAGGAACTCAGAAAAGTTATACTGAAGCATAAGGAGAAGAAAAAGAAAATATTATAATTGTCAAACCCAAGGTACAACAGGAGAGTGAAGCAACAAAAAACTGATAAAAGAAAAGGTAGATATCAAGAATATGAGTAGTATAGTGGGCACTATGGCCCGTCAAACAAACCCCCACCACCGACCCGTCTGGCGCGAGTCTTATCTTATCTTTCCCACCACCGGCGGCTGGTTTTTCCGGTGTGGGTGTAGGGGGAGAGGTGTTGGGGAAAAAAAAAATGGCGACTGCCCCGAAAGTGGGGATGAGAATTTTTTATTTTTTTTATTTTTCTGATTTCCTCTGATTTGAACCTGGTGCCTTCGTGTTCCGAGCAGGGTCCTAGTATGTTGAGCTAAACGAGATCTTACTAGTCTAAGGATTAGATGAGGTATTAAGCTAAAGTTGCGTGAGGTACGGTATGGGGGGTACGGGTATACGTAGGGGCAAGGATAGCTCGTCGAATCAAATGGTCGAATTGGACGGGGTGGGTAAAAACAGACTAGGGTATACGATGGCAAGGATAGCTCGTCGAATCAAATGGTCGATATTAGACGGGTGGGGAAAAAACATTTTGACCAAGAAAAGCGTCATGCGGTCGAACGGGGGATCGGTGGCGGGTAGTAACTGACAATGCCGTAGGGTAATAAAAAAGAACACGCAAATTTTGTACTGGCGAGCATTTCGACTCGTGTCACGATAAAAAATAATGCATCATCGTAGATTAGAAAGAATGCTTATTGTTGAAGAGATGTCGGATAAAATTTTATTTTAAATAACTCGCTGCTTAATGAAGGTAAACAGAAACATGGTTGTTGAGGAAATTTCTGGAAGAGGAAGTGAAAGAAAATTGAACAATGGTTTTAAAAGTACAAATATGATTTATATTTAAATATTTTTACAGAACAAAATTATTCACAAACATTTCAAGAAAAGATTCGTCGAATAATTATTAAAATTTACGTTTTGATATAATTGTATGTACAATTTGTTCGAAATAAAGTGGAAATTATTCTAAAAATGTTATCTCAAAGTATACATCGAGAAATGTTAATCTTTCAGTGGGGTACGGACATACGTCTATTTCCTTACTGGTACTCTGATCGTGAGTTTCACGATACTGTTATAATGCTACCGTTGACAGGAAGATTTAACTGTATTTCGTTAATTAAATATCGAGCACATTCGTTGACATTAGTTGAAATAAAATTTAGACGATTTAAATTAGCGTTCACACAATCAACTATATTTTCTACACCTTGAAAGTCGTTCTCTGCATGACTATACGCAATGTTGTAAGTTTTACGTTTCTTCGCCTTCGGTCCGTTTTCGTTCGTATCCTCCACAGTCTCGAAGAAAGATCTTCTTGCTCGTTTTCACGATATG